GCGCGGGGCCGCCGTTTTTGGCCGGCCAGCCTGCAAGCATCTGTGGACTGCGAGTTGAGTTGAGCCCCTTTGGTGCGGTGTGCCGCGCGGCGTGGCGTTTTTCCCACCCCCCCTCCTGTCCGTGTGATTGCGTGCATGCGTTTCCCCTTCCGGACGAGAGAGCACTGTTTGCATCAAGCTGCGTGTGCCGCAGGGCGCGCGTGTGGGCGCTGCCCCGCGCTGCCCCCATAGGGCTGACTGAGAGCTGTCGAGGAGAAAAAATCCCAAGAGAGGAGACCCTTCACGCCGCGCATCGCGCGGGCCCCACGCGCCCCCCCGGCGGCGGCCCAGGCGCTCCCCGGCCGCCCGTCCGCTGCCGCCGTGAGCGTTGCGCCGGGCGGCCGGCGCGCGCATCGCGTTGCCGCCGGTCCCTTCTGGGGGGCCGGCCCCCCGCCTGCTGCCTATGGTCAGGGCCGGCCCTCCCCCCAATCGAGTTGTCCTTAATCGAGTTGTGAGAGGAAGGGCGCCACCTTCCCCAGGCGGCGCCCAAGCGCCTGCCCTCCGCGCCACGCGAGCCCCGCCCCCGCCCCCGCCCGCAAGAGCCCTGCACTTGCGGACCGCGCGCGCGGGACCAGCCGCGCACCCCAGCGGCCCCGCGGGGCCGCCGGCTGCGCCGCGCGCCCCCCTATTTCGCGGTCGGAGCGGTATCGGTTTTGGCGCGCACTCCCAGCAGCAGGGCCATCCCACCTGCGCGCCCCATCCCCAGGTCGCGGCCTGCCCCGGCGGCCTGTTTGCTAATTGCCGGACGTCGTGCGTCTGTGGCCGTCCTCCAGACCGATTACTTGCAATCGGGGGTGTTGCTACGCGGCCCCCCTAACACAGGCGCGCACGCTGCGCACACGCCCCGCCCGCCCCCCTCCCCGCGCGGACGGCGGCCCCTGTGGCCGCTGCCGCGTCGGTCGCGGGGGGCGTACCGCCGGCCCTGACGCCGGCGCCGCCGCCGCGTTCCCGAATGCCTCCGGGGCGCGGCTGGGCGGGGCGGAGGCTGGAGGAGAAGAGGAACGGGCGCTGGCCGGCGGCGCTCGCGCCGCGGTCATGACACAGAGACCCGCGGGCGCGACGCGGGCACCGCCAGCGCCCCGCAACCCCATTGAATGCGCATGCGGGACGCCGCCCCCGTCCAGCCCTGTGCGCCGCCCTTTTTGTGTGTGTGCGCGCGACCATAAACCCACCCATCTGCTGCCCCGGCAGCGGCCAACCCCCTCGCTGTGCCCGGGTTTTCCACGCCCCATCCCCCGCTTCGTACCCGCCACTGCACAGCCACCCCACAGGATTCGGGCCTCTCCCCCCCCTCCCCGCATGTCTGCATGCATGCGTGCATTGGGCAGTTGCCCATACGTGCTGTGCTCTGGTGCTGCAGGTGTTTCCGCTTTTCGTTCACTGGTCTCAAACCAACGTCACTTGGGAAAGGCGCTTTATGTCGAAGCGGTTTGGGCCGGACCTCCGAGCCCCATTCGGGTGTGGCGGGCCCAGGGCTGGGCCCACGCCAGCAGCACGGCTGTGGGCTGCGCTGCGGCGCCCATTCGGCGCGGCTGCTGCCCCCAACCCTTTCAGAGCGAAAGCTCGTCACGGTTCTTTTCGAGGCGCGGGCGGGGATCGACACGCACACGCGGCGGGGGTCTCGGTTGCCTTTGGGGCGCATCCCGCGCGCGCTCACATACACACACAAACACACTACACGACGACACGACGAGCGAGCGACGACAGGCCAGCGCTTTTTGACGTGCGGTGCTCGGGGGACCCAGCACGCGCACTGCCCTGAATCTCCACACTGCCGCCACCGCTGCGACGCGCGCGTCGACGCCGTCCCGCCTCGCTGCACTGGTAACCCCTCAACCCGCCGTCTCGGCAGTGCGAAATGCACGGCCCCCGCGCGGCTTCCGGTGTCGTCAGCGCCAGCCTAATGGCATCCTTCCTGCCGCCCAGCCCGACACTCATCCCTGCAGCCTGGCTGGCGCCACCCTGGCCTGGCTGCCAACCAGCCGGATGGCAACTCCCAGCCCAGCCCAGCCCAGCCCTGCCGTGCCGCCCCTGCCTCGCGCCCACTGCCCCCGTTCCAGCCGGGCACTGCCCCGCACCCCCCCGTCCAGCACGTCGGCTCGTGGCGCCGCAAGGCCTTGCCTTGGTCAGAGGCTTACAGTCGCAGCTGGTAGGTGGGAGCAGCTCGAACGGCCAGCTGCCCTCTGCCGGGACGCCGCTCGCATCCCAATCTCAGCTCTGATCAGCTGCACAACGAAGCTGCACAAAGGGTTTGCAGGCACGGCGCGCGCAAAGCCAGCCTCAAGGGTTGGTGCGGCATCCCGAAGCCCGGGCGCCGCGCCCGGCTATCCGCTGGCCGCGGCGCCCTCTACGGCGTGCGCCACGTCATCTGCCGCATGCAGCAGCACCGCTTCGGCCTCTGCGGCCGCCGGCGCGGGCGCCGCGGGCTGCTTTTTGAGCACGGCCGCCTCTAGCGCCGCCACGCGCCGGTCCAGGCTGTCCCGCGCCTCCTCGGCCTGCGGTGTTATTTCAAGGGGGTGGGCGCGTTGTCACGTAATCAGAGTGTTGAACGGGACGGAGGGATGTCGCAGGCAGCTGCCAAAACGAGCCGTTCCGTGCTCGGCGGTCCGCGGGGAGTCGCAGCAACCCTGCTGCACATCGGTTGAGCGCCTGTGGTACGGGCCCCGCCGCTTTCGACCGGCGGGAAAAGATACACGCACAAGAGCAAGCATCAAGATCGGCTCTGGACAGACATATGCGCGCCAGATCGCGCACCTGCGCCGCCAGGAACGTGCTGCTGCTCTTTATGTCATTATGCAGCTGGTAGAAGGCCGCTGCCGACGCGAGGCCGAAGCCCGAGAGGAACGACGTCACGCGCACGCGCAGCAGCATGGTCGCTGCGCCGCTGCGCTGCGCGCTGTTGCGTTTGAGGTATGCGCCACCCGATGCCTCAAGGCGCCGCAACTCCTTCCAGATCCTGATTGACGCCTTGCGCGCTGCTTACTCGCTCCTATCTAGAGCTTCGGGCTAGATCATCCACATGATGGGGACTTGCGTTTGAGGTGGGTTGAATGGAACTGGCTATTTGACTCATGGTCTGAGGTCTGCGCCCTCTGAAACATCGTATGAAGGGCAGTTTGTGGGGCACCAGAAACAACGGTGGGGCACTGCGCCGACAGCACCGCTGAATGGCGCATATAAAGGCCGATGCATGTGTCAGAAGGTAACAAACGCGCCCTGAGTGGCAGCTACATTGCAAGTGAGATCAATGGCGAAAGGAATGCCGAAAAAAGAGGCCGAGAACGACTCTCCCGAGCTGTTGGCTGAGGTGAAGGCGTTTGCGTCGCAGCTCGGTCTCAGTGGCGCAGGCGGAGGGGCGTTTGAATATGACGACTTCGCACCGGCCAAAGCAAAGCAGCGGGCGGCGGCGGCCGACGGCGGCAACCGCGACGCCCAGCAACCCAAGGGTAGCAAGGGTAAACAGCAGCGGCGCGACGAGAATGGTCGCCCGAGCGATGGCGCGCCACACGGCAAGGGCCAGAAGCAGCAGCAGCAGCACGATCCGCGGCCGCGCGGCGGCAAGACCGCCGCCGGCCCCGGGGCCGCGGCGGCCGCGGCGGCGGCCGCGGCCGAGGCGCAGCGCATTCACGATGAGGCGGTGCAGGGCCGCACCTGGGTTGACTCCGTCGGCCCGCGGCCGGGCGAGTCAAAGGGCAGATCGCTCATGAGCCACGACGAGCCCACCATCTGGTTCGAGGCGGCCGCCCTGCTGCCGAAGCTCGACCCCGCCGGCCGCCCGCCGCTCGGCGAGGAAGCCGCCGAGAAGCTGCGCGCGGCCGGAGAGCAGCTGATCGAGCGCGAGGCGGCGGCGTTCGAGCGGGATTTGGAGAAGCGGAACGCGGCGGACCACCGGTGGCTGGGGCAGGTGCGGCGTGGCGGGACGACGGCGGACAAGGTGGCAGCGATGACGCTCCTGGTGCAGGTGAGGGGCCGGCCGCATGGGGCCAGGGACGGATGTGAAGAGAGGTGTGGCACCGAGCTGGGCAGGTCGCACAGCGGGCCCGGCGCCAGTCTCCCGCAGCCTGCAAGGTGGCCGGCGCAGCACTAGCCGCGCGGCCGCCTCGCACACTGACGCCGCCGCCGCCAGCCCGCGTGCCTGCGGGCGGCGCACGTCGCGCCCGGTGCCGCTGTCGCCGGCGCTCCCACCCTTCTCTCCCCCCAGGCGCCCTCACCCCGCCCATCCAGGCGCGCACGGCCGCCCGACCTGCGTGTCAACGCCCTGCGCCCGCCCCTTGCGCCCGCTGCCTCGCCCTGTTGCTCCCCAAAGGAGTCTGCGGCGGCCAACCTGAAATCCCTGGACGGGCTGCTGTCCCTCATGGCGAAGCGCAAGGGCGGCAAGGGCGTGGTGGCAAAGGCGCTGGAGGCGCTGCAGGAGCTCTTCCTGACCTGCCTGCTGCCAGACAGGCGCCTGCGGGTGCTGGAGCAGCAGCCGCTGCAGGTGCGGGGCCCAGGGAGGGGGCAACGCGGCCCAGGTTTGCCGCGGGGGCCGAGCCGCACGCGCGCACGCGGCGGCGGCGCCGGGGCTCCGCACGAGTGGTGCTCAGCGGCCGTGCTGCCCGCTGTGCCGGCACCTCGCACGTATGCAAACGCACGCGCCCACGCACGCGCACGCGCGGTCGCTCGCGGCGAACGCAACGCGCAGGCGCTGCCGCCGGGCCGCGCGGGCGAGAAGCACCTGCTGCTGTGGTGCGTGGAGGACGCTATGAAGTCGCGCTACAGCCAGTTTGTGGGCCTGCTGGAGGGCACCAGCACAGACCCCCTCGACTACCTCAAGGCACGTCATGGCAGATGGGACGAAACAGCATGGGGCGGGGCAGCGGGGAATTGTTGACGCGGCATGCATCGGTTGACGCGGCATGGGGCGACGCGGGGTGCTTTCGGAGTGGAGGGCTGCGTGGTCGTGATGCCGGCTGCGGCCTTGCGGGGCCGAAAGGCCTCGACCGCAGGGGCCGCCTTCCGCAGCCGGCTATGCCGAGCCCCAGCGCGCCGCGCCCGCGCCCGCGCCAACGCCCCCGTGCGCGGTCCCCCCGCGCAGGAGCGCGCCACCAAGGCGCTGTCTTCGCTGCTGAGCGCGAAGCCCGAGGGCGAGGCGCGGCTGCTGGCGGCGCTGGTGAACAAGCTGGGGGACCCCTCGCGCAAGGTGGCGTCGAACGCGGGGTTCCTGCTGGGGCGGCTGCTGGAGCAGCACCCGGCCATGAAGCCCGTGGTCGTGAGGGAGGTGGGCGCCGCGAATTGCGGACGTGTGTGCGTGCATGTGTCTGTGTGCGCGCGCATGTGTGTGTGTGTGTGTGCGTGTGTGTGTGTGCTTGTGCACATGTGTGGGTGCATGCGCGTGTTTGTGTGTGTTTGTGTGTCTTATGTATTGTGTTTGTGAGTGTGTGTGTGTATGTGCGCGCGCGCGAGTGCGCCCTCACCAACTGAGCTCTGCGCCTTGCGCACCCTCCACGCCCCCTCAACC